ATTTTTGCTTTTCAATTAGTGTAATTCGAAAAAATTTTTGTGACTAAAAATGCGAATATAAGATATATCAGAATCAAAAGGGGAGAATAAAGAAGATCAAAAACTAATTGAGAATCGCTCTCATCTTGCGCGAGAATCACCAAATTTGAAGCGAACGGCGGCGACCCACTAGGGAAAAGTGGCAAAAGGCATTATGAGTTGTTGGTGGCACGAGTTTGGCTCTTGATGGGCGGACATGACCACAAATTCAGTAATTTTCACGACCCATCGCTGTTCCGTACGATTTTTCCTTTTCTTTGGCATTTTTCTCGTAAAATCTTATTTAGGGACTCTGAGACCCAAGTTTTGTAGTTCAGAGCTTTTAAGTGCTAATAAACCTCCTGATTTTTCTTGCTACTTTTCAGAAATCATTCATTATTTGTTTACTGATTCAATTTTTGCAACTTTAGTAACAGATGAGCAATCCATTCAGAGTTAATCGAAACGCTTCGAATTTTGATTAGACATTTTCTCCAAAGACTTTCAATGTTTGAAATTTTGATTTGTCATCGATTTTTATGGATTTCTATCACTGATTGATGATCAAAAAACAGAATTTGACATCACCAAATACTTTGCCCAACGGCTTCGACTTTTTATTTTTGCTCAACTTGTTTTTTTTTCAAACAGTGGTCTCAAGGCGTAATAAAAAAATTGAGTGAAATGGAAAAATCATTCGCATGAAAAATTACGGCTTCAATTCCCTGCCCAAACAATATTTCTGGAAATGCAGAAAGGATGCAGAACGCATGATGAACTGTGCATACGCGCCATATTTCAAATCCTAGAATTTTTTTTCTCTGTCTTCCGAGCCAATTCAATGTTCGCTAGTGAACTAACCAAACTTAGTTTTTTTTTTGAAATTCGCGCCAAGTTTTGATTTTTTTGAGTTTACTATAGCCTTTCAAGTCCAAAAAGATGTTCGTCGAGACTTTCTTTTAATCAAGTTCGCTCACCGTAATTTCCTCTTATTCCGCAACCCGCCGTTTCTCTTTTTCATTTCAACAGCTTTCAGTCCTAATTCGATTTTCTTTAAGTCCTACTGTGGATTTTCCTACTTTTTTCGTTTTTTTTTTCGGGATGAGTGTATATATCCGGAGAATCTCGAAGCAGTTTTTTTTGTGAACTCACGGAAAAAAACGTTAGAAGTATCGCTAATAAACCTTGCTTCGAAATCTTCACAATGGCTGCAATCACTTCCATTTTGTACATCTATGCTTTTTAATAATTTTTTGATTTTCACGCTGTTCCAAGTCAATAATTTCCATCCGATTACGTGTATCAAAATTGAAGTTTTCAGGTATTCACCTCGGGTGCTGCTCGCCCACTGGAGCGGAATAGGTACGTTCCTTTCTAATTTTTTATCACTTTCAATTTTGGGCTTGCGTTTTTTCTGGTTGCTCTGCGCTGCGATACGGGGCAGTCTACAAGCGATTATTCATCTTTTCCCTTCAAATTAAGACTCTATGGTCGCACTTGGAATAGATTGACGCGTTGTTGTTGTAAAGCGATTTTTTTGCGAAATCTGCAAAAAAGTGAACGATGAAAATCGGCAGTAGAAATAATTTCACAACGCTGCAAATTATTTCACGTACTCCGACAAAATTTTAAGTTAAAGCCAATACAGTCTTATATTTTCTATGTTTTTCTAATCTCCACACTAAAATTTGTCTTCTCTACATCATAGAACTAACCACTAACCAATTAATGTAATATTCACGCAAGTAGCTGTGAATTATTAACACTATTTATGTAGTTGATTCATTTTCGTTACGCACTCGACGTCCAAAAAAGTCGACCGCAGAAAATAAAAACAACGAAAAATACCTGGCGTTAATCTTTGGCCTGATTTCTGAAGAAAAAAACCGTGCAAAGCGAAACTTTGTTATGTGAAGCCAGATTCTCACGAAAGTTCTCAGAAATCGCAGTTTTGGCGAGCTAAATCCGCTTTTTCCAAACGTTCTCGAGACTTTCGCAAGTCATCAAATTGCGAAGTCGAAAAAAAGACTGGAAAATACGACGACCACTTTACAGCACTGGACTCATTTGCAGCACGGCGGAGTGAGTTATTTGTTTGAATTAGATCATAATTTTTTTGTCGAAAAAAATCGAATATTTGAGACTGACTTTTTACTAGAATAAGGAATTTAATAGTATAAAACTCCTTATTATTGGTGGTTCTGAGTAAAGGGATAAGATGTTGTCTTTTGGAACGGCTGTCCTCTGTCCCTCGAACAACCTGCCATTCATCCGTTTCCTGTTTCACATTGACAATCGTTTGCAATTCGTTTTTCGTAGTGTTTTTTTTTAATGATCTGTTCTGCAATTATTAAAAAGGAAAAAAAGGTAGAAAAAAACTGCTCAATTTGATGTTTTCTCAAAAATATTTTTCCAATCAAGGTGATTTTTTTGATACTGTTTTGTCCCATTTCTGGTTAAACCCTTTTTTTCAAAAATTTTCGGAGCATTTAAAAAAACTCTTTAATCATATTTAGATTTGAATTTTGTCCAGCGACTTCTCTGTTTTGAAATGATTCCCAAGATTTTTGAAACTGTTTCTGCGACTACTCTGTGATTTTTCTCCCTTTGATCATTTTGTGAGGCAAACTGAAAAATTTCCGAAAAAAAAGACCTCTTTTCCTTTTTTTTTTTTCAATCTCTCGAGCCCGTATGAAATTCAAAAAATGGACGAATCTGACCGGACTGCTGTTATCATCATTATTTATCTGCAAGGCAAGCTTGAAAAAACGTCCAAAATAACCAGGCTATGATGATGGAACGGGGACGCGTATCTTTGACGATGTCCCTTTGCTCATATATTCGTTCCGTAGTGGCTGTTCTGCCAAGGCTGTGGCCGCCACGTCGTTCTTCCAAAGTTATGAGCGTTTTGGGACTTTAGACGGGTCAAACGCCAGATAGGCGCTTTCAAGAATGTGTCAAAAATTGCTTATAAACAAATGACCCTTTGTTGGATTGAAGCCGCCGGAAGGGGAAAAAACTTTTTCACTTTTTCCATTTTCTGTCACCTGAAAAATCGAAAGAATTCGTTTTGCGGTCAGAATCGAATCTAAATTCGTATTTTGAAATAGTATTCGTCTTGAAATTTTTTGTTATCTCTTTACCTCTGCCAGAAAATGAGATGCTATGATGATTTAAAAAATTCATTTTATTTTTTTCAAATACTCACTTTGAGGTGAGTTAAAAACTTAATGAAGACATAGTAAAAAAACTTTGAAAAAAATAACAGAATAGCTAATTTTGTAATCATAAGTTTCGATGTGAGTGATATTTAAATTTAATTCATGCGAAGGTATCCTAAAAATGACTCAGAACATTCAATTCTTCGCCAGCTGAATAGGTAGGTTTGCATGATTAACAGAAACAAAATGGCAGAAAGTTTCGATTTTCGTTAGGGTTTTTTTTTATTATCATATTTTTTACAGCGTGTTTTGGTCAAGTAACTTAAGCTCAAAAGCAAAAAACAAACGGTTACCCACTGACTGTTACAAACCGACACGAAGCTCCGTGAAATGTACTTTTTTTTTCGAACTCTTTGAGCCTTTTTTAGTTCCATGGAATTTTAGAGCTTATCCGGAAAAAGAAGAAGTCAGCACACTTTCGGCACATGATCTCAACGAGAAGCCAAACCAAAGCGCTGAACAGGTCGAATTACACGTCTCAGAAACTCAGCGACGCCCCATTTTCGCTTACTGAGAGCCTTCAACTCCCTGTCTTTCAGCAACCAAATTCGTTTTCCTTCATTTTTAGAGAAAGCGGACCAGGAGAGCCTTTTTCGAGCGGGGCAAGTTGCTAACTCAAATCACGCAGAATCGAGTTGACGCCCCTTTTTTGTCGGAAGGCGCGTTGAGGCAATGTTTGCTTCAAAACACCTCAGACGTCGAAACGGCCTGGCCTTTAGAGTAGTACTCGCACTATTTTCACCCTACTTGGCACTGAGAAAGCTGAATAACAAGTTGTCAAACGATCGGATTTGAGCTAAATGCAATTATTGAAGGAAAACAAAAAACAAGCACTGTCTTATGCACTTTTCCGGTTCCACCTGCTTCGAGTCAAAGCTTGAACCTAATTTGGACTAATTTATAAGATTACGCGCATAATGAAGGTCTATAGTTTATTAACTACCAACTACTTGAGCTTTTCTCGATTAGTTGAAAATATAGAAGAAGAATATTCTTTTGCCCTAAAATAGTGTGAGAGTACAACCTTGAAAGTGATCTTTTTCATTTTGAAGCAGTAACTAGTTTTTTTGCAATGTCTGATAGAGAAAAGCAAGGCTCTGCAAGTTCCCTGTTCGCTCAAAAAACATCGGCTTACACCGGATCACAAGTTAATTGGCAGCCGTCGTTTACAAAAAATTACACCAGCGCGACCTACACGTCCGTCTCGGAGTTAATTAATTTAATAAACGTTTCGATATGCTTCTGCTTGCTTTAAACTAACATAAAGCTTGAAAATTTTCAGATTCGATTTTTTGGAACTATTATGAATTGATGATAAATTATAATAGAATCAAAAATGGAAAAAAAAAAATATTGATACCCAAAAAAGACTAGTCAACGTTGTGTTATTGATAAAAGAGGGAATTGAAGCAGTAATGATGTGAATGAGAAAGAGGGATGTGTGGATACCCATCTGTGAGCCGTTCTTGCTAGGTTTTTTCACGTTCGTGAAGTTTGAGATTGAATGCGTAGAAGGAAATTTGTTCATTCTTGAAAATGAAGGCCTTTTTATATATAATTTTGTTAGTTTAACTAGATGAATAAATTTTTGGTGCCTCGGAAGATGAATACTCTGCAACAAGATGAAGACACGGGTTTTGAAGAAAGAAAAAAAACTTCTGTGGCTCCTAATTTGACTAGTTTTTCAAAAGCAGTTTGAAAAACAGATTTTCACCTATCTCAGATGTCTTTTCATGTCGGACAAAGATCATCCACCCGTCAATGAACTTTATCTCTGAATTTTTACCTGGTATCACAGTCCCCGAAGTCATCCATTTTCTGACGATAGCCGATTCTTGGAATCGTCGCCACATGCTGAAGGGGACGAGCCTACAAACCCGAGTTTGGGTGTGATAGTGATTTATGCGCGTTCCGCCTCGAGCTGTAGAAACAAGGAGGTCTCGTGCGTGGAGGCAGGCAAAGAGTTAGCGAAAGGGAGCTAGAGGCGTTCAGTTGGCGCCGCCCACCAACCGCATTGCCAAACGGCTCCGAGCTCTGTCACGCGGCTCCGTTCATTTCCAAAGTCCCAAGCTCCCAAGCGCCAAGCCGCCGATGTGGCGACGGCCTGGCTGAATGCTCAACCCTTATGTCCCTGACGTCCAGCGTTTCCGCTCAGTTTCAACCGCCTGGTAAGAACCGACTGTCGAACTCGTCGACTCATTCTCTGGCCACTCTTAACAACAATCCGCCTCTGCCAACTGGACCAAATTCTCTCGAACCACTTCGGGAAACTACGCCTCTCACCAACGGCGGAGGCCGACTTAAGAAGGTTTCTGTGCCTGTGCCAGAGTCCGGCCGCAGTAGATCCAAACTTCCGCCGCCGCCACCAGCCCTTCCAACCTATTCAAGTTACCCGGTCAGTATTTTTGAACAGGAAGAAAAGTAAATAACTATCGAGATCTTTTTTTCGGATTTTTTTTTGGATACTTCGCTTTGAGTTCAAAGTTGAATCCTGGCCATTGAAAAAACCTGATTATGAAGCTTTTTGAAAGCAAAAAGCGGAAAAAGTTGCGAGACATTCTGAAAATTTTGATTTACGAGTTTACCCATTTTAGCGATTCTTTTGAGAATTTTATTACTCTCCACCATTTTTTCTCATGTCTTGTTTGAATCCTACTTGGAAACCATATTTGCAGCCAACCTTTTATTCGTTTAACGATCGAGAAATGAGGAGCCGCTTTGTTTTTTTAGCAGCTCTCACGTCGTTCAGTTTTCAATAACATATAAATTACTCTAACTGAAGTGATGAATAGATCATGAACGCCTGAGCGTCCGAAAAAACTCTGTTTCAGAAGAAAAATGTTCTCTGAATTTAAAAAAATCAAATTTTTTTCCATGGAATATGCTATTTTCGAAGATTCCTTATATTAATCTTTGTTTTGGTATATTCTCAAAACCGAGATTTCAGTAAATTTTCACGATACAAAGAATTCAGCGATAATTTTTTTAAGCTGGAAAAAACAAGGTTTTAGTTCACGTAAAAAGAGAATCCTCCGTATTTCCTCTTTGTTGTTCCTCAAGTGAATAGGATCTAAAAAGCAGTGCCTTATATTACATTGATGCAGTTAGGAATGTTTTTAAGCCGAGTCCCTTGCTCCGGGCCAAAATATCCGATGTCTATTTGCATTTAAATACGTCTTGCAAAAGGTCTTCAGGCTTTCTTCCAAAAAGATGCTTCTTAGAAGAATTAGAAGCTTACTAAGGGGATTAGGATGAATATAGTTAAATAACCTATACTGAGCTCAGTTCAAAGGCTTTCTGAACGCCTGAGAAAGCCCCAGGGAGAAGTCTAAATCTTCAATTGCTTGACGTTTGCTTGTCATGTCAGGTGCGACATCTTGCATGCATATTTAAATTCTGCCCCTTGACTTTTTTGAAAAAGCTCAGCTTTGGTGAGATTCTGTATTTATAAATCAATTACTTTTTTTGAAATTTATTTTAAACGTCGTATCAGTATTGGTCTAAAAAATGTTCGATGAGGGTATTGACATTATCAGGAAAGCAATAATTAAACAAGTAGTCAAGTTTTTTTGAGATAAATTTTTTTCCAATGGTTACAAGTCCTTTATAAGGAAAAAAACTTAATAAAAACAGTTTTTTTGCCGTTTTTTTCTACTTCTTTTCTTATCTTTTTTTCCTATAAATTTTTTTCGGAAAAATTTGCAAGAGTTCTCCCCTGGCTGTTGACTTTTTTGATGGATAGCCACAGAGGATTCTGTTTGAAAGGACCAGGGAACGGCACTAACCATTCATAGAATGGGGTCCAGTCCTTCGTTTTTTTATCCTATTTCTTCTTCCTGCAACAAACCGAGACTAAATTCGTTGTCCGACCTGCTTCGCTATCTTCCGACAGTTGTTGTGTCCCATTGTATTGAGATTTATGTTAATGTGACAGATTTTGTAACGTTTTACTCACTCATTCTTACGACCTGCTCCTGTTTTTCTTTCGCTTTATTTTTGTTGGCAGCTGTTCAATCGAAAAACAGGCTCTGTGTTAGAACCTTTGAAAATCTCTACTCGAATTTTGAAAAGTCTTTCATTGTCCTCTTGTTTCTGCTTCTTCCATAACCTTCAAAAGTCCTCATTCTGAACTTTCTTTGCAGAGAGCAGACCGGAAAACTACGTGAAATCTCTCGTTTCTCAACTGGGGTTGTGACCTACTTGTGAATACTCAAAAAGCCTTTGTTGGAGATTCTCCTCTTGTTTTCTTTGAGCCAGTCAAATGCAAACACAATAAGAAAACGGCTTTTCGCAAACGTCGTGCCCTTCATTTAATCTTCAATTAGCTGCCTTTCGACAGCCTAATGACTTTTGTCGGTCTCGGATCCGTTGAGCCAAGAATTTTAAGGACAGTGGGCCAAGAACTTTTTTGACTATTTAAAAAGTGCATTCTTTTTTTGGATTCCCACTTTTTTTATTTTTTTACTTGACCTCTTGATGAATTTTGTAAAACTCGTCGCCAAATAAAGCCTATAACGATTGTAAAAAGTTTGGAGAATAAATAAAAATTATCTTTTTTTCTGCTCCGTTATGTTTCAAACGTTTTGAGCTCAAATTTCAATACCGAGCTTTCGATTTGAAATGACTGAAATTTTTTCATTTTCTGGTTCAACCAAAAATTTTAAAACAATCAACTTTTTACACAGTGTTCCTTTAGAATTACTTAAAACTAACCTTCTGAGTGGGAATCCCAATATTTTTAATTCGCTTCTAAAGAGGTTTCTATTTTTTTTAAGTAACTACTTGAGACAAAATCTCTATAACAGACAAAAACGCTCAAATTTGAATAACAAAAAGTGCACTTCCTATAATTTATTGCATTTTCTTCCGGCGGAACTATCGTGCGGCTGGTGAGAGAGAGAGAAAAAATTCATTTCTTGTGTAGATTGACTCGATAGACGCAAAAGGACAGGGGAGATAAAAAAGTTCATTAATATATGCGCAATTTTTCTTGGTTCGCCCTTGCATACTCAACAAAACTTCTCGGTTTGCCACGCTTCGACTCAACTCGCAGACAACTAAGCGGCTACGCAGGCGTCGGAAAGAGCAATTTCCACGGCACCTCAGGGCTCGTTCTCGCCAAAAACGGCTCCAACACGTGTTAGACTTTCTTTTGGGGTCTTTTCCGGTTGCAAAACAAGCCTTTCGGTCTTGCCGATTTCACAACTGTGCCCATGAGCTTTGCCAAAAATAAATAACAAGCAGTCAAAAGGAAGTCAATGCCAATGTCTCTAGTTTCAGGAGTTTACTTAAAAAACAGGCCAGTTTTCTTTGAACCTCCATGTTGGTGAATCTTCGACAAACTATTAAGTGAATGAATATAAAGTCAAGTTACAGTAATTTATCTTTAGTTTATTTTGAAATATTTAATTGAACATATTTCATTTCTTCGAAAAAACCAATAAGCTTTTTCATCTTGCTAGTTCTCACAAAATCAAGAAAAAAGCAGTTATTTGAAATTTTTGCGGAAAATTTTCTTTCTTTTTGTTTTGACGCAATTTATCTGCGAAAAACAAGAAAAACATAATCGAGGCGCCAACCTGCCAAACCCACTACTAACATAACTCGCTGAAAGAAAAAAAAATAGTTAGCTCATAGCAAAATAATCGCAAAGCCGAGCAGTCTTCAAGGTCACGGGGGTTTCCATTAGCTTTGAAAATGACTTTGAAAGTTCTTTGATCAATTTTATTGAATATTCAAAGCGACGGTGAGAATCTGTTTCTGTGCTCTTTCGATATTTTTCGAAAAAAACCTCAACCTCGACTTTTGACTTTTTATTTTGTCGCATCAACTTTTTTTTATCTCTTTTGCAGGAAGAGTTGTAAGGATCCTCAGGCGGTGAATGAATAAGAAATGATTTGCGCAGTAGTCAACATAACATAACATTCCGACGGCCTAACGTAATTAAGAAATGTTCCAGCTGAGGGCTTTTCTTGTATTGTGCGGCACAGGTCGTAAAAAATAAAAATAGACCATTGAAAAGAGGGTTTGTAGCTATGGAGCAAACGAGCTCTCGGCATGATCGCTAATCAAATAAGGCTGTTCATTCTTTCGGAATGAATATGATAAAGAAAACTTGAATACAAGGCGGCAAACTGGCTGAAAATAACAAAAATTTTGTTTATTCGTGCTGAAGGGTATTTCGAGGGTCTCTTTTAATAAATCAAGTATAAAAGTTTTGCAGTTATCCATTTTGCTGACAAGGAAGGTTTAATCAAGAATTATCAGTGAATCGGTCAGAAAAAAAGAATAAATTCTTTGTTTTTGAGAAACACGACTTTAAGTTAAAGAATGACCGACGTTAACGCATTTGGAAGAGTTTATTACGTTTTGATCTATCAGAATGTAAGAATACACCAAAAACTTTTAGGCAGTACTTTGCGAAATTCTTAAAACGGTTGAGACTTTTTGTGGAGTACTTCAAACAATTTCCAATTCGAATCTTGAATAGTTTGCTCCATGTTTTTTCTTGAACTCTCTCGACTTCTAGACTGTGATAGTCGCTCAAAATAGTTTTAAGAAGTTCAAATTAACTATGGGAGAGAATGTGATCAAAACGTAAAACCACCTCTCGGCTTAATTTTTTCAAAAACAAAACTTCAAAGTCTTAGTGGAATCAAAGATATCAGAATTGTTTTCGGAAGCTTTACTTTGCCGTGCATATTAGAGAGTTCGTATGTCAGTCTGTTTTGGTTGGCGAGCCGCGAATTATGCATTGGATAGTGCTGCGCAGAGAATGGACCACTTACGAGAAACGGAGGGCTCGAAAAAAATTCACCTCGAGCACCGACTCCAACTCGCAATTCTCACATTCGTTTGCTAGGTTTCTGGAGGGTCGGCAGCGGCGAAATTTACTTGGAAAATCAGGGAGGTGAACGAAAAAATCATGCTTCAGCGCGGCCGACTTTCCGAATTCGTTTGAACTTCAGTTGGAGAGTAAGGCGACTTGAAACCAATCAACCGAGAAAACGTCTTGGAGTTTTTGCTACAGAGTGCGAGTAGAAAAGTCCAAATCTTAAGTTTTGAGAGTGGATTTCATTTCAAATTCAAAAAATTTTTTGATTAGTTTTGATTTTTCTGTGAAAGCTATTTTTGATTTTGAACATCGTAAAAAGGAATATTGCTTTGTAAACTCATTTCTTGATGTTAAGAAATAAAATTATCAAACTTTCCTTATTTATTGTTCTTTTTTTTTTAAATATTGTATCACAATAGCCTTATCTTTTTTTTTGACGTTTTGTTAAAAAGCGGAAAGTTTGTTCAAGCTCATTTTTTTCGAAGATCATTACCTGGTTCATTGCTGAGTTTACTTTTACGCAATTTTCCAAAAAAATTATATTTGTTTAGGATGTTTCGTTTTTTTCTGCCATAACCATTTTTTTGAGC